TGTAAACTGCTCTTTTTCATGCTTAGTATCATCTTCTTTTTTCCCATCATTACCAGTCACATCGCTGTACAAAAGTTTGTTTTACTGAAATACAACCGCTACCGCCCGCGCGTTGGCTCCAACGTGACTTTGAGACTTCTGCTGAGTGACTGTTGTTGTGACCGCCGGCTAGCTATATCTGACCGCTGCTAATACTAAACGTGAACAAACATTTCAGCTACAAACGCTGGACTAATATATTCACGCTTGTGGGATAATATTTCGATCACCGGAGATCTGGGATACCAGGAAGATAGAACTATTCTTTGTGTGGTGGTTCAACGGAATACGGAACTACGGAATCTTCTATTTTGAACTGTGAGTCAAGATTTACTTGTATTTCTCTCTTTGTGACTTTGTATCTGGCTTACACCAGTAATTTGTTCAGTCCACTAGAGACTCCATAGGGCCGTTAACCACTACAGATGCATCAATCGAAAGATCACTGAGTCTTCCTCGTTACTCACCTGTGTTCAAGCTATTATCAACAGGAATGAGCACTTAGAGGCTGAGTAGAGAATACTATGAGGGTCCCACTTGTGAGTAGCCGACCATTGAGAGTGTTTGGGCCGGATAACGCCATAATTCGCAACCATAGCAAATATGTGAATTTGGCCCAACAATCGGCTACAGTTGGGAGAACCCATGAGGTGGTCGTGCTCTTTTATGAGTACTTGGTTGACGCCGTGTCACCACATGGCCTTTGCTACTAAGTCCCATGGTCAGTCGCTGATTCCGTTGGTAGAGTCCTGTAGGTGACTTCTGCCACTGAAAGGCATCCAAATATCAGCTAATATTGCTGGGAGTAGTGTAGCAGCACCGGCTGTCCCCAAAAGCAAATCACCTAAGGTGAGTATTGCTCGAAATAACTCATCGAATATTTGCAGGGCAAGTGTCCACTTGGGTTCGTCTGATTTCGATGCTTACTGTCGATTCTTGCAAACGTTTGCTGATCAGGTTTGCGCCGGTCGTGTGCCCAGCTGCGTGTTTTCCACAGTAGATGTCACAGGTGCATCAAATGCGGGGATGCCGAGAGTGGCATCCACAACTTCGGCAGCCTCTCTCGCTGGCCGTAGACGCACCTGTTAGGTGCAACAATCAACCTAGCACCTCCAACGCCACCACGCGCAGGCGCGCCAGGACAAGACGGTCGGGATAGACGAGACCTTCAATATGTAGGACGATAAGTATTGCCCGCAATCTATAAAGTTGCGTGACCACAAGGTGCGAACCGCCGCGGAGTACAGCATCGTGGCAATGCACAGTAAGAGGAAGTCAATAGCGTCACATATTGACGCTGATGTCCGCAGTGTCTGTAATTCATTTGAGAGCGCCTTTGAGGGGTCGATGACAGCGTGGATGCAATGCGACTACTGTCACTGTAATTGCATGGCAGTTTGTTTGATAGACCGACGTTCCTTTGCCCTATGTGCAATCGGCACAACCGGATATCGGAGTGAATTCCCTAGGTAAGTACACGTAGGGAAACGAAGGTAAGTTTCGCTCACTAATTAATTTCATACTTGTTAACTGTCATGTCTCGTTGGATCATTGGGTGGCGGGTGGGTTTTTCTGCCGTGAAATCCATCGCCTCCACAACGTAGTGCGGCGGTGGCAACCAGTGTGCGTCTCTAACGCAAGCTGGGTAAACGGGGTTCGGGTCATTTTCACCAGGTTATCTTTTACTAATTCTTTTCCTATTTACTTTTTAGGCACAACTGCGGAACACATTTTTGAGGACTCTGTAATTTGCTTACAATCAATCATAATAAATTTGTTCTTCGAAAAATGGCTTTACAGTTCCTGACAAAGTAAGTGACACGGCAACCAAGGCATGCAGGCCTTTCGCTAAAGACAAGCTTGCGTACGAAAAAAACGGGGCGTAATTTTCTTGTTTCGCTTATAGCGTCAGGGTGATCCGGAAGCTTAGTTCTTCTAGGATCGCTTCCAGCAACATATGCTTAGCAATGTATACAGCGGCCCGACAGCCTACATGTTGTTGAGGCACGTAATACGCTTCATGAGTGCTTCGTTCCAAAGTGTTCCTTGTTACACATTCATCATAAATAAAACTTATTCACGCCGAAGATTCTAGGACAGAGGTCATCGTAGACTTGATATTTCGTCGGTTACTTATATAGCATGTAGGACCGCCATCGACTGATCGCACAACTGGAAAGAACGCATTCCAGTCACAACTGAGTTATCAAGGTCCCACACCAACAATCGTGACATAGCTAGACAAGCTTGACAGGCATTTTTCACATCCTTCCTCAATAATTGTTTACATTCTTCTGGGTTTTCAGATGATTAATCAGCCTTTGCATTAAAGGGTAAACCAACAGAAATAGGAAATCGGCGACCAACTCCGTCATAACCGCAGACGCTATCGTTGATCCGCTGGCTGCGAAGGGTGAGCCGATAGGCCCGTTATTTTAAGCCAGAGTTAGGGCTGTCCACACCTCTTCTTCAATCTACTGTATACAATTCGTTTAATACATGGCATTCGATGTATGCATTTAGGGAAAGGTCTATTAGTACAGGTATCCTATTCCTCGAAAGACTAATTGTACCATAACCAGTGATCGATGCAAACTGAAAACAGTGGGCACACCAGCAAAAAAAGCTGGATGTGGGCTAGTTTATTACCTTCGTTGTTACCAACATTAAGCACAAATATCATCGTCCTTTTGTGATACCGTTATAGCTAGAGGCAACATGGATGACTAGACTTTCAAAAGGAATCTATGTTAAACTACTGACCAATACACACCATCTGCATTTATTAAATTTAAAAATCTGTCAGCGAAAAAACTTTTCATCATATATAACCCATTATAATTCTCTGCTCCGTTCAAGAAGGTCAATCATAAACCTCTAATTCGCCATTTTACCTTATTTAAATGTACCCACCATAGAAATTTCAGCTAATGAGAATGCTGATGATGCCGCAAGACAGTTGGTCGCTTTTCTCTCGAGCCGCTGACCGGAAGCACATCTAAATTACTTTCGCCAAAACTACAGGGTTTCTGAAGTTGTGACTTTAACGAGGGGTTAGTTTAATCCATTGGCACCTTCCAGTGACATAGCGCTCGTGGAATTTTGTTTAGGTGAGCATAATTTCAAGGTCACGCGTCGTCACCGTTTCGCATTTTGTCACCGCCCTAAGCGAGATGAAACATGAAATCGCATGAGATCAGCGTATTCTGGCGTTCTTTGGTGTTCATTAATGGTACAAACGTCTAAAGAATATCTATTGAAAATCCCACCCTGGAAGATTAGTCACTGACGTTTGTTTGCATTGCACTCCTCGGATTTAACAAATGAGATTATTTTGTTTGGCGAAGTCACAACACGATGAAACATGAAATCGCATGAGATCAGCGTATTCTGGCGTTCTTTGGTGTTCATTAATGGTACAAACGTCTAAAGAATATCTATTGAAAATCCCACCCTGGAAGATTAGTCACTGACGTTTGTTTGCATTGCACTCCTCGGATTTAACAAATGAGATGATTTTGTTTGGCGAACTTGGTCACAACACATTTTACCATGGATCTCAAATTCCATTAAGTATATCACTGTTAGGCAACAGCATGAACTTTTCAGTGGCGATGCGAGGTCCATCTCTATGGATGATTCCTTTTCACAGTTATGCATAACTAGCCTGTAGACAATTAGGCGTCACGAGATAGCCGCAAGTTTCATTCCTATTATGGATATAACGCTCTTTAGGGGATGACCGTCATCAAGTGGTCGCAACGATAACGGCAGCCGTTGTCACCCACATCCACCACTTATCGTAACTTCAATGTCCGTGTCTTACGGGATTCAAGGAAAAATCCTCCGCTGGATCAAGGCGTTCCTATCAGACAGATCAGTCCGAGTGAGAATAGGCTCGACCTACTCTTCTCCAGCGCCGGTTTCCACTGGAGTTCTCCAAGGCTCTGTTCTGGGACCAGTGCTGTTTCTGATCTACGTCGACGACCTCCCAGATGTTCTTGCAGGTCCATGTCCACTTGTTGTGCACAACTTGAAATCCTGGAGTTCCAATGCCAGTAGCCGCCAAATGGATGTAGACGCTGCAAAGCAATGTTCGTTGGACTGTCACCTTCCTCTGAATGACGAAAAGTGCGTCCATATGTCACTTGGAAGACTCAGTGATTGCCTTTGCCATGGGTGGTGAGGAAGGGTCAGAAAACATCATGAGGATAAATGCCAAAAAGGATTTGGGCATCTGGGTCTCCTCAAGCTTGTCATTCTCACTGCACCATGAGAAATCGGCCCAGAAGGCATTCGACATTTTACGGACGATCCGACGCACCTTCTCTCCGTATTACTCGCATGGACTTCCAAATACTCTGTGGGGCCTACGTCAGACCAATCCTGGAATACGCCAACCAAGTTGTCTACTCAGGACGCACAAAAGACGTCACCTACATTGAGCGTGTCTAGCGGGTCGCCACGAGAATGGTTGCCGGCCTCAAATCCGTGGACGACGAAACGCGTCTCGTGATGCTTGATCTCCTTCCAGGGAGTATCGAGGCCTCCGAGGGGATCTAATCCTTACTTATGCCCTGTTTGAACAAACTTTGGCAAACAGTTTTTTTACCGTTGACCCAGCAAACACATGGTGGGGACATAGTAAGAAAATCCTCAAGCACGGAGCACACACATTCATTAGACAAAATTTTTTCTCATTTCGGGTAGTAGCTGCGTGGAACGACCTTCCTCCGACGGTTGTTCACGCTCCTTCTAGAACCCGGCTTGAAGCACTATTAGACACTTACTTTTGCGAATCCTCGCGCTGGCGAACATACTGCCCCGCACTGAGGACATAAAGAGCAGTTCTACACCCTTTTTCACTTGTGCCGTTCAGGTGAACGAGAGCCACTGACCGATTAGAGCAAAATCGACCCGGAAGACTTGGGATATTGCATCGATCCCGTGTATCAAGCCATGAAACCGTGAAGCCTCGATCCTGTGTATCAATTCGTGAATTGAACTGACCTTGATGGCGCATGTTTCGAAGTTCGGCGCCGGCTTTCGGATTTCCTATGCCTAAAAGGTCAGAAATCCTTTCGCCTGAAATTCAATACAGTATTTAATGTGAAGAAAGGTTCTTACTAATGAAAACTTGGGGTTGGTGGATCACGAGTACGATATTTGCGGTGCATAATAAAATTACCAAGCACCTGGCACTTTGACTCTGCATACTACGTAATATGCAGAGTCAAAGTGCCATCTTCGTACGAAGATATTCGGATAGGTCTATTTGTTGTACTACCCTTTACTCAATTCAGCAACAGGACATTTGTGCTGTACCGCGGTGATGACCTATTACTGGACAAGTTCATGGAAAATGGATTCTTGGTTGGTGCCTATGTGCAGTTCAAGTAGGCTTACGCATCACAGAACATCTCCCCGGGCGGCTGAGTTGTGACGAAAGTGTCACTCACTAAATCCCTTAAAATGTGGTATAGTGGTTACAACAAGGCTGATGCTATTACCACAACCTCGACTTTGGTTATAGCTATACGGTCGAGGTTGTGGTAATAGCATCAGCCCGACATCGAGCACACTGACGGTATTGTTTTTCTTGGATCAGGCCCTTTACAGGTGCTAACTGTTTTAAATAACCTGACAAATTCTGCTGCACAGTTTGTGATGCGCTTTGCACTTTTAAAGTGCAAGTTGCTACTGCAATATTGGTTGGGATCAAATCCAAATCTCTCGCTTTTAGGTGAACCAATTGATGTTGTGGATAGGTTAGTTTATTTGCACAGCTGCCTCATTCCCGGAGAACCTGTGAAAAAGAAATCTCGATGAATCGGTAAAACTAGTGTACCTTTTGGGACCGACATTCGTGGCGCCGACGTGACATCAGCTTCACTGTCAGGGGTAGAGGGTACAATGCCGCATTCCGATTTGTCCTACTGTATAGATCAAATACGCGGCCGCTTCCTGCGACATCTTTGAAGACTGTTTGATCATTAGTGCCTGTGATGTGTTGCGCCGGTTTGGTGGGGACATTGGGCCTGTAATGCTGAAGTATGCTAGGCGGATTTTGAAAATGTTCATCCACTCTGAATAAATCAGCTGACCACACATTTGTTACGTCACATACTTCGTATGCCAGAGGACTGTTTGTCTCACAGCTCCCTTCGTCCAGTCTTGTGTCAGACAGAAACGATATAGTAGATTTCAGTCCATGACCCAGTGCAAGATTTGTAAGCCAATCACCGGCTGTTCTTTGCGATATCGATTCTGGGATAATGAAGGTCACATTACTACGTCGTGTTCACCAACAATCCATTCCCGTACCAAAATAGACCACATTGTCGTCAGTTGCAGGTGGTGAGGGTTAGTCAATGCATGTCACTCCCTCTGGAACACATCCGACCATACACTTGTCTGTCGCCGCATTTCACTGTCTTTAGGTCTACATAAAACGCGGATATTTCGTTTAGCCATCCAAAAACTCATGGATCCAGAAGTAAAACAAACCTATCTAAGCCGGCTCATCCAGCTCATCCCGGTTGATCCTATGTCAGATGTTAATGCTCACTAGAAATAAGTAACCGGAGACCTACTCAGTGCCATAATTTGTATCTGCGGTACCGCCCAGCCAACATTACCCTAGCACTGGGTCTCTGATAGGACCGTGGCTTTTCTGAAGACCGGTAAATTACTCCTCCTGGTAATAACTACAGCTCAACTCCACACATCATACGACGCCAGGTAAAACCGAGTGTGAGTGCAGACCAGGAAGCATGGTATGTTTCAGTGGCCGAAGAAATGGAAGAAGCGAAAGTAACCGGAAGCGTCCGCAGTTTGTTCCACTTGATTCATTCAGCTGATCGTCGGAAGCATCTTGTCTGTGGAACTATCAAAGGCCACGTTGTCTACGAATGTGGAGCCTCATTCAGTCTTAGAGGTGTATGTCCATAGCCAAGCGTCATCGCGCTTCTGACCCTGACAACCATCCATCCGCTCTATTCGAGGATGGCGGGCGTCGAAGCAATTGGTGTGAATGCTAGGATGTCTTCAAAACCCAGGTGTTCACATTTCTGATTTGAACTTTGTCGATCTGGAGTACGCAGACGACATCACCCTTATCTTTGAAATCTAAAGGCCTGTTGAATAAACTGATCAGCATCATACCATCTTTCGACATGCACCTAGTCCCTTCAAAATGCAAAGTCATGCGTCATACCGCACAGTCCCTGCGCGTACCCTTTCAATTAAAGGAGAATCGCCGTAGGTCGTGGATATTTTTACGTACCTCGCTAGTTTTAGCTTTGATGGAAGTGACTGATTGAATCGGTGCACAAGTCTCAAAGGCGCGAATCACGTCTTCTAATTTGCGTCACTTGTGGCGTCAAAAAGGCATACTATTTAATCTTAATGGTCGCGTGTACCATGCTATTGTAAGGACTGTTTTTGAATGGTTGCAAAACATGGCCTCCGAGGGCAGATGATGTGAAGCGCCTTCAGCTCTTCGACCACCGGTGCCTCAGAAGAGTTGGTGGTTTTGAATGGCGTCAGCCAATTCGTAACTAGAAATAATCACGGACAAAAATGGCTCCCTGATATGCAGCAACGCAAAACATCTGGATCGCTGGGCACACTATCTCGAACAGCAACCCAGCTGGCTACCTGCCACATCCAATCCAGAATCCTCGCCTTCAACAGAAAGATGGACTGTGAATATGAAGCTGCTTTCAGTCTCAGAGGTATATTATTCTACTCAAGCTTCACCATGCTGCTGGTCATGACGACCTTCCACGTGCTCTTTTCAAGGATGACGGTGGATTCCATGGTCAGTGCCTGTCCAGCCTATTTTAGTATATGTGAGAGAATGACCGTCCCAGACAACTGGGGTGAATCGATAGTGGTGCCCATTTTCAGAAAGGGCACTGCGGTGAATGTAGTAACCTCAGAGGTGTCAGTTTGACTCCTGTTTTGACAAGGCTTCTGGTGTCACTGATTCTTCGTCGCACGTGATTATTTGATCCGTGAGCATCAAGCGGGATTTCGAACGGATCGAGGATGCGTCGACCGTATCTTCACATTCCGTCAGGTGTTAGAGCAGCGCCACATGTACAGACGGCCCACAATCTTGATCTTTCTTCGCCTCAGGAATGGGTTCGATTTTTTCGATCTGTCAATGCTGTTAACCACACTTGCTCAATAGGGTATGCCCAAGGAGTTCTTGTCCAGTTGGGATGTAAGCAGGCACAATAAACAAGGTACGATGGACCTCACTTCTAGATTCTCTCAGAGATGTTGCCAAACGAGCCGCACAGAAGCGACTATCAAGGGGCATTCATTCACGGAGAGACGGCTCCACTCGGTCGCTCAATACAATACCCACCCAAGCATATCCGGCTTCAACGGCCTCTGCATCACCAGAGTTTCGAAATCAGAACCTGGAAGAGAGCGAGGAGACCATTAGTTCAATCACAGGACTTGCATCCCACACCTTTGTTTTTGACAGACAAAATCATTGCGGAGGGAACCCAGCATACGAGCAAGAGCCACCTATTGACCTGGTTGCTTCAGTGTGCGAAAATTAAAGTAGATATGCTTCCTGGGCTTGAAAATAGACTTGGAAGTGTTTAGGGTTTTAACCGAACTCGGAGCGAAACGGTCAGTCCTAGGCTGGAACCTGCGGAGAAAGCATTCGAATTTGGGTGGGGGAGGGTGGAAGAGGGAAAACGTGAAGGTGTAAGGGCGGAGGCGTCAGCAGTAGCATGTTTTCGCTTACTCCCCCTGCTGTATTCAGCGAGTAAGGCGACCCGGTTGATGGCACCACGCGACGGCCGATGTGGCATGAGAGTATTGTTAGCAACAAGGTGATTAGAAAACGGGTATTTGGTTGTGCGGCAGGTACTTCACTCGGGAGAACATCGAGCACCACCGACTGCGATAGCTCGGTCATGTGCTACGCATGCCAAAACACCTTCTACTGAGACGAGTGTTGTTCTCTGTGTCTTCAGAATGGTGCAAACTGCGGGGCAGAAGGGCTTGAAAGAGATCACGAATAGTTTTGATGTTATTGCTCTTGTAGGGGCGAGATGGCCCAAGTGGTTAGAGCGCGAATTTACTGACCGGAAGGCTCGTGGTTCGAACCCGACCTCTGCCACTCGACTTCCCCTGTCTAGGCCTGGGCAACCTGGCAGTATCCCAGCCCTCGTGCTTCCTCCGGGTGGCATGGCAGTTAGGCACCGGAAGGGTGTTACAGCTGAACGATTATTGGTGTTGCACGCCTTTCAGGATAGGGTCCCCGTGATCCCAATTGTGCTTGGCTGTGGACTTTACAAGAAATGGCGGCTAATCGCTGTCAGTTTCTCTCCTGCTTGTCTGACTGAGCCCTTGGAGGAATAGGTACCTCAGAATGCTTGGCAAAGTCAGTATTAGGTCCCCTCTCTCACCCACTGTTTTTGTCTTCTTTTCACTCTTGGACTTTAAATATAACTAGACGAATCTTATGACTGTACAGCAGTGAAGCATCGGTGTCAACATTGGTGTTGCTGTCTTTGATGATGATGGTGATGACGATGATGGGAGTGTTGTTAGCTGTAAGTGTCACGGTTGTACGAGGGGTGGGATACTGCCCTGGCATCATCATCATCATTGTCAGCTGTAATAACCGCGTACTCGTCGTCCAGTGGTTGCAGCTGCCGCAGTTTCGTTCACCGATGATTTGGGGCGGGGGGTGGTAAGTAGCTGCGCATTGCACGCGTGAGCTGGTAAATTGGTGCATAAATCCAGCATTGTCAGTGAGCTGTCAAGTGGGGGGGGGTTGGAAAAGGAGCTATGCTTTGAATGCAATAGCTTTGATGCACGAGCGCCATTGAGAGCGCGACTGGGCCATGTCTGACAATGTCTCCAGCCATTGATGTGGCCCGTCTCGGGGTCCCCATCCAGGAAGACGGCAGTGACCAGTGCAGCTGAGTTTTCTGGTAATTGCTTCCATACTTCGCTGCCAAGTCATTGTTTGACCGCCTCTGGCTCTCTTCCATCCTTCACGTGGTTGTGCGAAAAGAGCCCTTCGAGGAAGTC